CTGTTTATAATATTTTCCCAGGTCTGGGATAAATAAAGTATATTCTAGTCTATAAGATAAGAGAAAATGGGGAGGGGAAGTCTAAAGCCTCATTTGTACAGGACTTACATTAGGGGGTAAACTAACTCATCAGTTCGCACAGACATGGACATTCAGTTAACAAACCAATCAACTGAGTAAAAATCAGTAAAAAAAAAAAAACAAAAAACAAACAAACAAAAAAAAATCACTAAATCCACTTTTTAAAGTTTTGATCAGTGCACAAGTGAAAGCTCATGCATGGATACACAACAAATCCAAACTGCTAACAGCTATGCCAAGCTATTTTTAAAGGCACCAATTTATTTTTAAAAACACAGGCAAAAATAGGGGCTCAAGTCCATGTATGCACTCAGGACTGACTTCAAATCCCTGACGAGGCCATGTCAAAATAAACTCCTCCTCCCTGAGACAAAGAAGTCATGTTTAAAGGCTTCAGACACGTCACCACAGCTGGTCGCATGTCGACCACCACCATGCCCTCTCCTTGTGTTTCTTGTCTACCAAAAAAAAAAAAAGACACAGAATCCTTCATCCTAGCATTTCAATGAGCTGCCAGTTGAGAGCGTGGTAGTTTTACGGGTTAAATGTTTGGCCCACAGTGGCCTAGAAACTCTTTGCTGCGGGAATAAAGCAGGGTTTGACCACAAATACGACCTCCACCTACAAGATTCATGTTGTGTCTACGGGATTAACAAGAACAACAATCAATCTAAAGTGATGGTATCAGAGAGGAATGCTTTCTGATGGAGAGACAGATGTGCGCACTTTCCCTGTGTCGCACAAACATCTGGGCTGTTTGTGTGTCCGTAAGAAAAGACAGCAAGACAAACACGCTCACGCTATCCAGAGTGTTGAAGCGTTGATAAAATCCTGATGCTGACAAGAAAAGAAAAAAAAAACCACAAGGGAGGAGGACACACACACACACACACACACACATGCAGCGTGTACGGTATCAGCTCTGCACTGACGGCGTTATCCATCAGTGGGAATAAGCGATCATGATGTCATCACTGACATAGAAACCCCAAAGCACACTGGGAGAGAAGGAGTGTGCGCAGAGTGTGAAAAAGAGTAATAGACATGAGCTGGAAAGAATAAAGGGGGGAGTAAAGAGGGAAAGAAAGCAGCTTTAATGTGTGTGTGTGTGTGTGTGTGTTTACTGTACATGCATGTGCAGCTGAGGGTTCCTCGAGGTGACATCATGGGTTAGCAGGCGATGTTTGGGTCAAACACACCCACATGTATGTGGAGTGGGTGGGCGTGGGCGAGCAGATGGCCTTTATTTCAGCGAGGAATTCGTCAACATCGGTTCACAGACATGAAAAATACGTTTAGAGTTTCCCCTACAGGGAAGGGGGGGGGAACATGTGTAAGCCCATAGGTGATGGTGTCAAAATAAATTTCTGGTTGGGCTTGTGTCTTCCCGAGGGGCTTTTGATGCAATTTCTCGCTCTCGGAGTGCAATCTGAAAATGACTCCAGATGCTGCTGAGTCCCTTGTGGCTCAGTATAAATTCTAGTCGTAGCTGAAGTCGCTGGAGTCTTGGAATTATCAGAATAATCACAGAATTCACAGAAGAGAGTGTTCGTTTGCTTATGAGAGTAAATACACTTTGCACAATTACAGCTTCACTTGTCTCAAAGGTCAAAACTCTTTTCGTAAACTCTGTCTCTGTGTGGAACTCATCTAAGGAGGGAAATCAGTTCATTGGAACTATAATCCCTTGAACATTCCAGATGTTTAGTAAGGCACATTGTGTATTATGTTAATGAACACAAATTCATCCTGAAGAAAAATTCTGAAACAATGAGAGAAGACAACTTTCACATTTTAAGGAATTGTATCTTTGTGCTCTGCGTATCATTCGCATACAAGTACAGTCATGACTTGATAATCCGACTATTAACAATCCAAAAACTTTGCTATCTAACAGGTTTTTAGGAAAAACGAACGGAACACATGAAAAATAACCTTAACATAGCGACAGCTTTGGATTCTGACTCCAACGTGACATTTTATGTCACCAATAAGGATAATGGCGTATCATCTGACTGAACAATCCCACAGATTGGCTACGTTCAGACTGTTGGACCTAGCGCTCAATTCAGATGTTTTTCTGAAATCCGATTTCTTTGCAAGTTTGTTCACATTTCCAATTAAATGCGACGTGTATGTGATCTGCTGTGTGAACTTCATACGACCCAAAAGTGTCCTGCATGTGCAGAACAGGACACGATGACGTCACACGCTGCGAGCGTGCTCAGTGTTTACGGAAGTAAACATGGATGGTGAAAACATAAGTGTGACCACTGACTAAACTAGCGACAGCATCCAAGTACTGCCTGTGCGTTCCGACCACTTCCACCCCGTCGAAGCGCTTCCCCAAGGTGGAAGTGTGTCTCCCCAACCACGGCGAATATTTATCATTAATTGGGCCTGAATATCCAGAGACCAGAAAGCGCTATTCGTACCAGCCTTACTAGTTACTATAACAACTATGAACAATAATTAACAACAGATGACCCTTCCAGCATCAAGCCCTCCTTGTATCTCGACCTCCGTCTTGACAATCCGACACCTTTGCTATCCAACATAAAAGAAGGTTTTACATTTAGTGTCGGATTATCGAGTCACGGCTGTACATAAAGGGTAGAATTTATCCACACAACATTTTAAAAACATCCCACCGCAGCAGCAGAAGTTGAAAATAACTATGTAGTGACCGTTTGTTAACATGTAATTTTACTGGGCTGCATTTTAGTTGCTATTACACATTTGTTCTGTTGTCTGACAGCTTTATTATTAATTCAGCTACATAAAATACAGTCATAAAATGTTGTGGAACGGCAAACGTAAACATCTTCATAAAAGCTTTTTACGCCTCCAACTTTCTAACAACCACAAAACACAATAAAAATGGATTTTCACCACTCGGGACCTTTAAACTTCATGCTTTTACAAATTTTATAACACACAGGCCTCTCTATATCATTGAACTGACAAGTGTGCACGAGAGGAGGCACACCCATGATGAATTATGTAACAATACCGTGAACAGGTTGCTCCGCTGAAAATATTTTAATTTCTCAAGTGCACTGGGACAAAAAACAGATATATTCAGTTGTCTCTCTACGAGTCACTCATCCCACAGACGGGCTCTACGGTGTTGGACCGCGGCTTGGGGCGGTGGTCGGCTATTTCATTATGGGTGGACTTTTTTTGTTCTGCTCTGTGAGCTCAGTGTAGCAACACATAAACCAGTTTTTTACCTGCGACAGGGTGTCACTGGAGTTGCCCTCCAGCAGATCTCCCAGAGTGCAGAACAAGAATTACACTCGCCAACTGCAGTCCACCGGCCAACTTCTTTCACATCCAAAGCAATAAATACAGGAATCGACTCATCTAATATATCCCGGATCCTGCCATGCGCCGTTCTTGCAAGATAATCAGAATTAGGAATTAGTTTTAGCTCATTTCGTTGTCAAGGCAGAGTTCTGTTGGAACATCATGAGGTGTTGGAGGCAGAACGTTTGGTGTAAATGACTTGAACCATGGTGCCGTGGAATGCGGTTCCTCCATTGTGCTGTTTGCCAGGTCACAGTTTGGCAAAGTCGCACTGGTTTTATGGCCACGGCAACACAATCACCATCCTCACCAGTCCTCCTCACTGGATCTGTTGTTACTCATCCCCAAAATGAAATTCAGGTTGAAGGGTTGCTGTTTTGATTCAGTTCAAGAGACGCACCACATATGATGGTTGTCAAGTACAGTCTTGTGACTTTTTGATCAAACCTCATACATGTCAGATAAATAAGGGATGCTCGCTGAGTAGGGATATAGGAATAATGTAGGAGAATAATGTATTTAAAATATGTGGAATTGGGAAAATCATTTACACAAATTGTGTAAAGTTGTTTGCAGGAAGTTTTTTAATATTCCATTAACACGTGTGTTCATTACTAATAGAGTGAAAGTAAAAAGACGGATGTTAGTGATTTTAGAGATGAACAAATTTAAACTCCGACTGCTTCTATCTGTCTTTGGAATAAACCCAAGACAAACATCAAAGTGAGTTACTACCTGGCAAAAACAAAGGTAAGCTTCCAGAATGGCTGGTAAATTGAACCACTTAAGCAGCCAGTCAAGCAAAAAATCTACAACAAACCTGCTGTCAGCTGCTAAAACAGTGAACTTCTGGAAGAAACAGCCCCTGTGGCTGAACAACGAGCTGAGTTTCTCTCCCTTTCTCTTCCCACCACATGCTTCTCAGAACATAATGAACTTTAAAGGCTGCAATGACCATTTTGTTGTCCGACCAATTCAGTCAATCTGTCCGAGATCTAATGGTGCTTTCCCATGCTTTCTTTCTGCTAAAGGTTATATTTTATGGTGCGCGGTAAGCCTGGCATCAGCGGCCAGGGCTTTTCAATGTGACAAAGGTCAGGGACTCAGACTTGATCGCTGGTGGATATGAGGGGAAGAGAGAGTAATAAAATAAATATCAACTCATTCTCATGTGCATAAATATACAGGAAGGCCAGGCACAGCCTTGGAAGACTCAGAAACACATAAAGAGAAACATTCTTATGTGGTCTGTACGAATTTCACTCACTGTCACACAAGCACAAACTTACTTTGGACGTAAGAACACATTACATGACTAATCTAGTCTCCACACACTTCTAATCTCCCAAAGTCTCCGGTTTCCACCACAGGGCTTTCCTGCAACAGACCCAGACCTGATAAGGCAAACAATGCAGACTCTAGCGTCACACACACACACACAAATAAACACACTCTTGCACACACACATAGACTATACCATGCCAACAAAGGAAGCTGGCCTAAATGTTCTTCGAGGACCAAGCACAGGAGAGAAAGCTGAGGGTTGTTTCGTAACAGGGACCACAGCAGCGTTCACATGTGTGTGTGTCGTCCATATCAGTGTGTCCCACCTGCTTCCTCGTCCTGCTCCATAGCGATGGGCCCGGCCTGAGGCGTCTCTCCGCTCTTCAGGCAGTTGTGGATGTAGGTGGCCTTCCAGCGGGCGTACTTCCTGTGCTGGATGTTCTGGTGAGGAAGGGACATCATTTTGTGAGGTAGTTAGTGGGGAGTCGGGGTAACAAAATGTAAGTGACAGCTGATGAATGGTAAGAGATGAGACAACACGTAGGGCTGAGCTTGTAAAAGGTGTGAAGTGATCATTTGCAGTGATTGGTAGGGGGTAGATATGGGCAAGAAGCAAAAGTTAAAGTGGTGTTGGTCGGGGTAGTTTGGGTGTCTGGGGGATACACAGTACAAACTTACTGGAGAAACAGAGAGATATGATTACGTATATGGGCACTGGTTGAGTGGATTAATCCACCTATTAGTTAGTGGTGACAATAAAAGCATGTTAAGAGTTTTTTTAAGTGTATTTTTAGGTATTCGAAAAGGGACACCTGTTGTAAGTCTAAAGAAGCTGATGGCTGATTTTAAAAAGTGTTTAGAAGAATTTACCTCAGTGAAGGCTGAAATATACAGTCGTCCTCAAATGTATTCATACCCTCCCATTAAAGAAGGAAAAATGAGTTGTCACTGAAATAAGTTGAAACTGACAGAAGTAGTAATAAATAAAAATTTAATGAAACTCATGACATGGATGATCGATGTGCGCTACTGTCTTGTCGATGTTGTGCTGTTTTCCCTGAGGTACCCTACCAAAAGGATCGATCAAGTTCTATCTAATCTAATTTAATCTAACCTAATCTAATCTAATCTAATCTAATCTAATCTAATCTAATCTAATCTAAAATCATGGCATTGCTTTTGAATTGTGGTTCAACAGAAATATAAAAACAAAACAAAACAAATAAGCAAACAAGCATGATGGACCCGTAAACTAATACTTAGTTGAACATCCCTTTGAGCCAATCAAGTGTTTTCTGTAACTCTCCATCAGACTTCTGCACCTGTTGACAGATGTTTTGATGTTGGCCCACTGCTCAAGCGCTCGAATTTGTCCGGGACAGTTTTTTTCTTATTTTTAAAAATTATTATTTTTAGCCACAATTCAAAAGCAACGTCTTATTTTACTAAATTATAATTTAGCAAATTTTTATTTATTACTACTTTTTCAGTTTCTAGTTATTTAAGTGACTATTGTGAATTTTGCCTTTTCTTTAATGGAAGGGGATGAATACATTTAAGGACGACTGTATAAACCAGAGTTTGCAAATCATATGTATTATTTTTTCAGTACGTTAACGGTACGTATCGACGGGATCCGTCATTTCTAAGCTTCCCATTTACTGTCTTGTAAGCGGCGGTGCACTGCATTCTGGTGGCATCGTGTTCTGTTTTTCGAGAGATGGGGCATTACACTGGCATAAAGAGAGCACCCGTCAATCATCTAGTGTCAGAATGTCAGGAAGCTGAGCAAACCCTGCATTCAAAAACAACACTGTGTACCATAAGGGTGAAGAAATCATTTGAGCACCACATGAAAAGAGAAACTGTTATTTGTTGGAAACATTCATATTAGACATCATGTGGGGTAGAAGTACAAATTGTGGCAGATATCATTAGGGTCAAGGACACAAAATGTGGGGCATTTATTTCGTTGCATACTACAAGAAATGATAGTTGGTGGCATTAAAGGTGAGGAAATCACTTGGGCTGCTGTCGAAGATATTTGTTCCCCACATGAAAAAAGAAAAAAAAAGTTTTTTATCAGGGATTGAAAAGGTGCAACGGATTGAGGTGACGGGATGTTTAAAAGGTGAAACGAGCCAAAGAGGCAAAGAGAAACGAGGGCAACGGAGCTACACTGACATGCCGCTGATAAGAATGAATGGAGAGCTTCCTGCCTCGACCAGATAAGTGCCATGTCTTAGCAGCTGCACAGAAACAATGGGGTGCAGGACTGGTGAGGTCTGCTGTGGCGTAGGGCTGTTTGTTTAGTCTCAGACATACCGTAAAAAGAAAGGGGTGGTTAATTGTAATCACGTCTAATCGCTAAAATAACACAGCTTTGATATTAACAGGTCAGGAATTTTCATGAAATTTCAGAAGAAGCGTGACTCACTGTGAAGTTATTCAGCAAAAAAAACAACAATGAACCATGAACTATGCCAGGACAGAGTCAACACGGGATTTTTCCAAAAAAGATAAGACAATCTGTTGACCATTCTTTGTTTGGCTCAAGTGAGTCTTGGCCTTTCTCTCCGGTACATTTTTCACTATATAAATGTGGTTTGGGTTACAAAAAGCTCCATAATTATTGTTAAATCTAGCCAGTGGGACTCTAAATCTCGTATTGGCTGACAAAAGCTTGTATTTCACAAAAAACTGTGATGGGTCTGGAATGCTACCAGTTACTAACAACATCTTGTCAGCATAAGCAGCCTGAAATGTTAATTCAAGCGCATTACGTAACATCTTCGAGCATATTCATTGGCATCTAGTCAGGATTTAAGATTTTAGATTCCAGATGACGCTCAGCAAGATGCCAAAGTGGTTGACAGAGATTATTTGTAGTTTACCTGAACGCTCACAGTCTCCTGTAAAGAGCCGAGATTCTGGTCATGGAGGGATTGATAAACTCCTGAATGTAAAGCCTGTTGCTGTCTGTGTCAGAGCTCACTGGCTCATGGTAGGACAGCGATAATCACAGTTGTAGGAAGTGCAGCAGATGGTCAGCGCTGCCTTTTGTCTGCAACAGTTCAGCACCGCGACAGCCTGAGTGATGGAAGTAAGCAGCTATGGCTTTCTGCTAAAGCCCACTGTAGATAGCATGTCACTACAGCCATCTGCACGGCTTTAGGAGGTAAGGGTTTCTTTACACATTGAAAGAGGAACTACCAAAGAGACCCCCGTACGCTGTGGAAGGTTTCTAACTACCCCAGACTTTAGAGTGGAATTTAAATGTGTTTGCAAACCACCCAGGCTTGACTTTAAGCTACAGTTCTCCACTTGGCCGGTTACCACTAAGCGTGTCATTTATAGCTCATTCTCTCATGTTGCCACTACACTGGCACACAGTTTTTTTAAATTCAAATCCCTTTAGCTCATCAAATTGCCACTACGGAGAATTTGACACCCTTTGGTGCAGCAATCAGCTTTTCCTCTGCGTGGTATTTGCAAAGTGGGCTTTCAGCGGTAAACAATTTGGTGCTTGTGTTTCTAAATGGATTAAAAAAGACAGACCGTCTGTAAGTTGTTGCTTCCAGGAGAAAACCTAAAGACAAAGGTAACGTCTGCATTCACTGTGCTGTGCGGCTCAGTGACCTTTGAGTCTGTGAGAATGTGATCAGTGATGTTAGCACGGCTTCCAGGTTCAGCTCAAAAGAATGGAACCTCAGATTTTTAAGACTATAAAACTAGAGATGTTTCTGTCTTTGTCATTACATATCCACAGTTTTTTTGACCAATCAGATCTGCCTTCTTTGAAATTCATGTTAAAACTTCTGGTGGGTGACTTACATTTACTCGAGACTGTTGTTTCTCTTGCTCTTTCTTTTTTCTCATGAAATTTGGTGATTGATAAACAACTTAGAGCCACTTGTATGACTATAAACTGAACTGGTACAACCCTTCTAAACATGAGGACTGTAGTCACAGCGTCAGGATCAATGTGACATTAATCCATGTCAGAAACTTAACCTTTATCAGTACATTCCTCACAGTAAGGTCAGGGGTAGCTACAAAAGCTAGGGGAGGATCTAGTTTCTTGCCCCAAGACACTTGGGTGATGCAAACTGTGGCCAACGTGAGGTGGCGTGAAGCCGATTCTTCTTCTCACAACTCACTACGACAGTGTTGCTTAACACCGTGCCCGCTCACCTGATCACTGACTCCACTCAGCTGAGCTGGGAAGCTGCTGAAAACCTCTTTTTACTGCGTGAAACTCAATCACTCCTGACTGTCTGTCTGCAGAGCACTCACCACCGGCCACTCTGAGGACTCATTGTCTGACAGCAGACTCTGTGTGGGTGTGTGTGTGCGTCCATCAGGCCTCGCTCAGTGCCACGGCTGACTGTATGAACCCAAGTGTCCTGTTGATGTTTTAATGGCTTCTGGGTGACTCGACAGAACGTAGAGAAAGAGGTGCTGTGTGTCACACGTTCACACAGAGGTGGTGTGCGTATCGAAACCTCAGACTTTACCACATTTAACTTGCTGCTGACCACACGGTGTCTCGCTCAAGCTTCTTGATGTGCCGACTGGACTCGTAACTCTACTCTCTGAAGGGCAGCTCTACCGTTTTCACTTGTTAGCATTTTACCAGGTGTTGGAAAAGATGGAGTTGGGGAGTTAGAAAGAAGAGAGCTCTACACATCTGTATCCAGCTCCACGTCAGTGCTGCACACTAGCAGCTCCAGGCTACGTTATCTGGGACTAGCATAGAAACACCTACAACAAATCTAAACTGCTGCCAGTTGAACTACATTGTGTGTAATGTAGGTACCAGGTTTTATGTGCATATTTTCTATGTATTATTTCCATTAATCTTGTTGTGTGTTTTTGTTTTTTGTTCTATTTGTACTTGAGACTGTAATGGTTGTTTTTGATATCTTAGTGTCGGGACCCCAGGAAGACTAGCTGATGTCTTGGCATCAGCGAATGGGGATCCTTTTAAATAAACAAGTAAACAAACAATCAGCATCATGCCAAAGTTGCCATGACAGCATACGGGTCAAATACATATAGCTTTACGGTAACTAACTACTGTCCCCATTGAGCAGCTTTAAATACTTTAAATCAGCCTGAATATACCAAGAATATTTACAGCTGAGTCAATGAATGCTTCCATTTTGTGTATTTTTGGTGTATTTGGCATCATTCAAAATGTAAAAACTCTGTCAATATGACAAGGTCACCTGGTATTTCTCCGTCTCCTTTTAGTTTTAGTTTTAATTCAAAGATTCATAACCGTTGTCAGGGTTTGGCCACATAAAACTTGATAGCAGGGGGCGTCTCTACAGCTCACCTAGCTGAGCGGGCGACCCATGAACAGGGGCTATAGTCCCCGATGCAGCGGTCGTGGGTTCGACTCCCGCTCATGACCCTTTGCTGCAGGTCTCTCACCATTCTTTCCCCCCTTTCCTTTCCTGTCTATCTCTGCTGCTCTAAAATAAAGGCAAAAGGCCAAAAAATATATATATATAAAAAAAAACAACAACAAAAAAAACTTGCTAGCAGGATAAGTGTTTGTTGTTTTTGGTCTCTTTTCTGTTAGTTTTGTTGAACAATATCACAAAGCAGTTTGCAGACATGGAACTAGTGATTCCTAACAGGATCTTTGTCTTACCTCCTCTGACATTTCCCCAAACACAGATAAGACATCCAGCAGCAGACTGGCCGTGTAGAAAGACTTGATCATGTTCCTGGAGGAGGAAAGGAGGGGGAGGACAGAAAGTAGAATGATGGGATATGGAAGGGTACAAGTAGGGGAGTAGGGAGGGTTCAGAAATTGAAAGAAATATAAGAGGTGAAAAAGGGAGGTATGGAGGAGAAACACATACAAAAGATTAGTTATTAGTCCCTCATTTTATTGATAATGAGATGTTAGGACTGTGGAAGGTAACCCGTTAGGCAAGTTGTTCTTTTGTCAAACATTCATAGCATGTTTGCAATTTTTTTATTTTTTTATTTGCACTTCAGTTTACTGAAAAATCCATCTTATCTTCTGTAAAATATACTGAACACGGCAAATCCTGAGCGATAACTTAGTCAGTTAAATCAAACAGGAATCAAAAATCACCTGCTATAAAGCACAAAGCTCAGCTCTGAATACATCATAGATTATGACTAAATATATAAAATGATTTTCCGACTGACAGCAGTTGGAGGAGATTTAGATTTCCACAGATCTCCCAGCGTTGTCCAACAGCTGACTGAAGTGTCAGGTTTTAAATGTAACCAGGAGATTTAGGTAGATCTTTGCGTGAACCTTTTTAAAGCTGAATTTAAAGCTCTCGTTGGCACGACATCAACGTAGAGGTCCAACTAGATGCGACAGATGAAATGAGTAACATGTGGCGGACTACATCCAGTGACTTCAGGCTGCAGCATGTCATGCAAACACAACGATCTCATGAGACATTTAGAGAGCAAATGGACACCAGTGCCAAGATACAGTGTGGTAGAACGGTGGCATACAGTGGTTAAACACTTTAAAATATATCATGACAAAAGAGATCCATGAGCTGTAATGTAGAGTTGATTCTATCTACGGGCTGCAAGGTGGAGCAGTTGGTAGCACCGTTGGTCTCGCAGCAAGAAGGTCGCCTGTTCGCGTCCCGGTGAGGACACCCGGGATCTTTCTGCATGTTCTCCCCGTGCAGTGTGGGTTCTCTCCGGGTTCTCCGGCTTCCTCCCACAGTCCATAAACATGTTGAGGTTAATTGGTGATTCTAAATTGTCCGTAGGTGTGAATGTGAGTGTGCTTGGTTGTCTGTCTCTAAGTGTAGCCCTGTGATAGACTGGTGACCTGTCCAGGGTGTCCCCTGCCTTCACCCTGAGTCAGCTGAGATAGGCTCCAGCCCCCCATGACCCTAGTGAGGATTAAGCGGTGTATAGACAATGGATGGATGCATTCTATCAACCCTAGTCTGTGGTTTTAATCCAATATGAAGCCTGTATTACTTGTTCACCTCCAGAAATAATTAGAGCTGGCATTACAGGTTGTTTTCTCCAAACTCCGTGGTGCTCCTTTAATTTAAATCTAGTCCAAAGCCACATGTCTGTATTATCAAGTGGAACAAGCGCCTTCTTTCCATCAGCATTTGTGTGAAAATGAGTCTGAGTTGGCTTACATTTTGTCAAATTGCAGCCATTGTAAGTAGTGAAATTCTTTATTAGCTGCTCCTGAAAACCTAAAAATTGAGGCAAGTTCTCAACATTATTTGTTCTGTTTTGGTTTGTCCTGCTGAATATCTTTGGTTATTACAAACCAGTTCAAACTCCGGTCTGGAGCTTAACTTACCAGCGATCACAAGGAATATTTTACCCCCCACCCATTATGACAGTTGAATGGTCTCAGACATTCAGTATGTCGATGAAGCAATAACAAAGTCACACATCGTATTAAATCTTAAATTGATCTGTTTTCCAGGTCTCTTCTGTAACAACCTGTTACAGCAACAAGCATTAATGTGCCTCAATAATTATTTTAAACATTGGAGATAAAAGTGTAAGCCTGAGGTTTATTCTGGTTTTAAAGGAGACAAACACTGCAGCCACAGCCCAGATTTACCGGCACTCTATTATGGGTGATTTCCCATCATGACACACACACACAAACACACACACACACACACACACAGTAAAGGTAAGGGAACTCAATGGGCTCCTTGTAGTGCAGTGTGTGAGCTACTAAGCAGTGGCTTTAACATGTTGGAGGAAGTTTCTTATTCCACTAACGTTTCCCACAGACCTTCACCTCTGTGCCTCAACATGTGTGTTGTGAATGTGGACAGAATTATGAAGTATTTCTGCCTCTGTATTTGTCCCTACATGTACATTTATAAGCCCATGCCTGTTTTTATTTGTATGACTGTGCGTTCACTGTCTTTGTACACATGTTCTGGTGTGCGTGTGTGTTCAGGGGTGACATAACACACCGCTGAGGCCTGGCTCCTGTTAGCAGCAAACCGCTGCTTCTCATAAAACCGCAGGCTGTTTGTGTTCCACTAAAGGGGGAACACAAGTATTACCCAACCCCTCTTAATATACCTGCTGGAAACAGAGCGCTTCTGAGCGCTTCTGAGCGCTTATTTACATCGCAAACAACTCCAGAGAACCTGTCGCCTGCATCCATTCATCCTCCACAACCTGCCACAAGCTGCTCACACTTACTGACAGGAAGGGAAACTGACTTTCCTGCTGTGGGAGTCTGTTCATCCCAGAAGAAAGGTTAATGTGTCATTTACTGAGTTCAGGAGGGAAAAACTGCACTCTATTTGCACTGTGAACTATCACGATCTCAAAAACATTACCGTGCTGTTCCACGTGTTTTTCTTCCTAAGTAAAAGTACGATGTTGATTTTCCCGTAACCTATTCCTGATCAGCCAATCAATCCAATTTTTGTTTTTCCTTTGCAGCTTTTCTAGGACTGATTTGCAAATAACTGGATATGCCAAAAAGTCAAAAGAATAAAAGTCCTTCTTAGATTATTTGAGAAGGAAGCCGAGCTAAATGACAGATAATGACAGATCGGAGGATCACAATACCAGACGTCATCATTTCAGTGCGAATAATCAATTTTCCATTTTGGAAAAAAAATATATATATACAATGTGATTTTGTGCTGCAAGGTGGTGCAGTTGGTAGCATTGTTGCCTCGCAGCAAGAAGGTCGACGGTTCGCGTCCTGGTGAGGACACCCGGGATCTTTCTGCCTGTGCAGCGTGGGTTCTCTCCACGTTCCGACTTCTTTTGCAATAGTATGTTCTGTATTGTATTGCATCATTATTCAGTCTGAGCTGAAACATGGATTAAATTAACAGGATTAACATGAGTTTTTGGCTAATGTCAAAAATGCCTACTTAAAAACAAAATCAGCTGCAGCTGTCATGGTAATGACGTGGGCCATCTCTGTGTCTTTGGAAACGCCCGGATGGTAGAGCTTCACCAGTCCAACACACTTGAATAATGAGCTGATGGTGATAAAACAGGACCCAAGAAAGGTGTGACTGCACTGATTTGTAATGGTTTAGTTTTGAAAAGTCAATATACACAATATAAGATGCATGAAACATCATCTTATATTAGGGCCAATGTCGTTAAACATCGCTATGTGAGATATCATACCGGGGACCTTTCTTTTAGGCGTCTAAGGCTATGTGTATTAGTCTCCAAACGTTATTGATATGAGGCTTCTGTTCAGTATTTTCTGTGATCCAAACAGATCCTATCGAAAGTCTATCCAAGTCTATGTCTCCTGGAAAAATAAAGTGTGGAACTTTGAGTTCTACCTGGGTCACTTTGGCAGTGCACCCATTGTTCAGCAGTCCAGCGGGGTCAGCCTTTAAAGCTGAAGACAACGTGTGATTGTTATGAATCTCATACAAAGTGTTAACTCACAGTGGAAGACCGTGTGTGGCTGGTCATGCAAATACAGCTCTACTGGGGAAAGGCTTGTACTTAAAATAAATGAAACAGTTTGAGAATCAGGCTTTGTCTTGTGTTTAAAAAGAAAACATTGACTGACATCATGTAGTCAATAAAAATGATAATCCATCCATCCATCCATTATCTATACACCGCTTAATCCTCACTAGAGTCATGGGGGGCTGGAGTCTATCCCAGCTGACTCATGGTGAAGACAGGGGACACCCTGGACAGGTCACCAGTCTATCACAGGGCTACACTTAGAGACAGACAACCAAGCACACTCACATTCACACCTACAGACAATTTAGAATCACCAATTAACCTCAACATGTGTTTGGACCTTGTGGAGGAAGCCGTAGAACCCGGAGAGAACCCACGCTGCACGGGGAGAACATGCAAACTCCATGCAGAAAGATCCCGGGTGTCCTCACCGGGACGCGAACAGGCAACCTTGCTGCGAGGCAACGGTGCTAACCACCGAGGCACCTTGCAGCCCTCATAATAATAATGATCTATGGATTTTTTGTGGCTGGCCCAAGTGAAAAGCCAAGAATCAAACTACTGTAACTGTGATGTCACCTTTTGGTTGGTGGACTACAGTTCTAAAGCCTCAAGTTTGCAATCTGGCCGTTGCCATTTAGGTTTAAATCAGCCGGGTTTGACATTAAAGGTCAAATCAGACTGAGAACTGACACACACCCGTACAGTAGCAGCTTGTCAGTCACTAAATGAACACCATGTTGTACTAAAATGTTTAGTAAGGTAGCAAATCAACTGAGAGTGAGGGTCATATTCTGGTTGATGTCTGTACAATCTGCATCCACCTTTTATAAACAGTGAACGATCACAACTAACAACACGCTGTGTGTCTTTAGAATGTCAGTTAAGATGAGGAAAACCCCAAATACAAAAGGAGAGAAGAAGACAAATGAGAATATAGTGTGCTCATATGAAAGACATAAAAATTTGTTCTGATTTAATTCCCAGATGTTTCCTGTCAAGGACAAAAAAAACATTAAAACTCCATATGTTATATTCCAGATGATACGTGGAATGAAAGGAATGAATGAGGAGGAAAATGTACGAATCATAAAATATTCTTTTATGCAACTTGTCCAACTACTTAATCCTAGTTTCATACTGGCCTGCCTCCTTAAATATGACATATGTACATCTAAATACGATGAATTTATCAACGATTACGAACTCCAACCAGTGATGTGAAAAAGCTCAATCCTGATGTGGAAAACCAGATCCCTAGAGGCAGGGTTTCTTTACACTTCTGTTTGATTGTTGAAGATTTTAAAAACTACATTTATTTTAGTCCTCGACTGCCTGGCTAGTTGGTTTTTGTTTTCTACCCTTCCCCTCCTCCTGGTTTCTTTTTGCACTTCTTCTAAAAGGTTATGTTCTGTTCTTGGTATTTAAACACTGAAGTATTAACATCATTTAAACCACGCCCAAACCACCGGGGAAAACACTCCTGTTAAAACAGTCTTATCACGCAGTTTTTTATATCGAATACCGTATACGTAAGGCCACACACACACACACACACACACTAGATCAACAGGCTGCGGTGTTTTCCTGACCTACATTAGCAGCAGCTTTGCACATGAAGCCAAACTTTTCTACTTCCATGGAAGAAAAGCTGACCTGCCATCCTCGAAAATATCCTGGACAAGTCGTACAAACTGTAAAGTCAAATATGCGACTTTGTAAAAAAAAGAAGTTCACTTGATTTGACCCGAGAGATTTGAGGAGCAGTTTTAGTTCCATCGGTGACGTGGGAAACGTCTGGGTTGGATTTTTAAAGTGGACACACAGTGATGAGCAGCAAACTGTGAGCATTTAGTGCAGCCTTTAGACAACTATTAGCATCACCTAAAACTTAAGGTGGAGCCACTGTCACAAGTTGTTCCCCCTGAACTACTGCGGGGGTGAGAGTGTGGGCTGAAATTTCAGCAATGGTTTAGGTAGAGACAGTATTCAGATTGTTGTGTTGTTCTGCATTTCATTGTGACAGTGATGACAAGTGCTTTAATTACATCTCCCTGTAATTACGCAGACATTTTCAACATCGTGCCACATTTCCCGGCGTGGGACAGCAAAACAAACATTGCATCACTTATACATCGTTTCTGTCTTGAAGGAAAAACAAATCTTAGAAATGATTGCATTTGGCAATCTGTGTTCCCACTTTCACTGCTGTGTCTTCTGATTAAAGAGAGAATCCAGCAGCGGGCTGGTTTCAACAGCTGGAGCGGAGAAAGAGCGGGACTTGTGAGGTGTATCGGCCGCCCCCGAAGGACTCCGAGGAGCTGCTCAGCTGGATGGGAGCTGCTCCGGAGCTCCGAACGCGTTTATTCATTGATGTCTACAGTTTGGCTTTCATGGCATCTTAGTGAATACAAATCCACTCATCAAACCTAAATTTATATCCTTTTATATCCCTTATAAAAAAACTTGAATTACGTCTTCAGCAAGTCAAGTCTAAATAAAGATTCAGTTCAGGTGTGTCAAGAGTTCAGAGCAGCAACACTTATTCAGTAGCTGATAAATTAATCATCAACATTAATGAGGGCCGCCTGATTGATACTGACTGACTAACAGCTGGCTTTTACAGCTCATTTCTCACCATCCACTTGAACCAAATAACGGAGAGACTCCTTCACAGCTCTAAACATAATGAGCTCCAAACAGGGCCGAAGTGAGACTCTGCTGTATTTAATGATCATTTCTCCAGAGAGCAGTGTTCTCTCTGCTCGACAGCACAGTTCACTGGAGGTCAGAGCGTTGTGACGGAGCCGCGCATCTTTTCACTCGCAAACAATCTTTGGCAGAGTTCAGGCAGGAAATTAAAGATTTGCCGCTAGGACATTAACAGTAATTAATCAAAGCTGGTTTTAATCGGCAACAATAACTGTGTGGTAACATGACCTGCATGTTTTCAACAGTTGGTCTTTGGTAATGAAGAAAGGACTGATGGATCCAACTGCTTGGAATGTTTCTGCTAAAAATATGTTATCCTGCGATGCATCTAGAAGGCTTTTAAAGTTTGCTGTTTGATGTGAACGCTGATCTCTGGTGATGTCATTGAGTATAATAATAACACTGGGTTTTCGCTGCAGTATTAGGTCATTCATTCATACAGCAAAGTTAACCCAAACTGACCCTTGAGGACTAACCTTTTTAGAGCCCAGGCTTTCCATCCTGCTCGTTTGTGTTTTTTAAGACATTTTAAAAACTGCCAGAGTTTTAAGCTGCCATGCAAATGGATCCACCAGAAAAAAAAAACCCAAGAAAGACCAGCGAAACCAAAAACTGCTGGTGGGAACTATGTGCAGATTTTGTTTTTGTAAGTTGCTGGTATCTTCTTATATAAGAGGTTACAGTATTTATTACAGCCCCTTCGACTGCTAGTGTGAAGCCAAAGCTCCGGTGTTGATGGAAAAGTGCGGTGTGGATGGAGGGAGATGAAACGATTGTGGTTTGAGCAGAGGGGAGGAGCGGCGGTCCCCCCATCACATGTTCACCCGTCGAGCCATGTGCTGTATGTACATGCTCGCACATGCAATAAGTCATGTCATTTGTTTTTAATCGCCTTCCAAACTGATTCGTGGGAGCGTTTTGAAGTCCACTGCCATTTCTCTTGTAAGGATGGTCTCATGCGTACTTCCACAGATGCATTCAATGTGCCGCAAAAGTACACAAGAGGTGCAACAAAAGTTTGGCTACGATTGAAGGTGAGATAGCTGGAACTCCTATGAGGCATTATAGGGTTAGGATCAGCTTAGGCAACCATTTGGCTCAACATAGGACAAGATCTCCCACAACAATTTGTTTTCGAATCGACTTAAAGCCTCAGCAGCATGTTCCACGTCTTTCAGGAAGACGGATGAAAGAAAGTCTCTATGAGATAATGGCCTGACACCATTTAACAGAGACACAAACGACACCAGCATGCAGGATGAACATGTGGATATATTGTTAACATGGTGTCCCGTGAACACATGTGGCCATAATCTAAGAGGCTTTGCATGAGTCATCGCCTGCTGCTGAGACAAATAGGTTGTAAGGATGTGAAACAGGAGTCTCCTAATGGCACCACTGTGTGTGTGTGTGTCTGATGGCTACAAGCTATAATGATAAAAACGGAGCCAGATGTTGGCGTCACCGATAACGCAGTCATTTGGTCGACGTAGCCGGCTGTCGGAAACATGCAAAGTAAAAGAGTGTTCTAATTAGGAACGTGTCTGATTGATGGAGGCGAGAGGAGGAGCAAGAAGATAAACAAGGAGGAGCGAAGTGTGTGGGCTTTTTTCCAAAACTTCGTTTCAAAAAGGCACTTTAAAAATTATCCAGTGTACTCGGTGTCGTTTTAAGTTGCATTGTGATCGGTTGTTTATAGCTGTGGGTCCTAGCAGCAGTCACGCTTTTCAAATTTGGCTTCCCTCATGATTTTAGCATATTTGTCTGACTGTCAACTTCCCCGACTGCCCAAAGCCACTCAGTACAACAAAGGTTTTCACTGATCATCCAACAATAGCACGCTCTACTACGCTTGTTGAATGAAGATAAAATTGACAGCTGCTCTGTCTTGTCTCGATGCGTCTCCTTTTAACTCCATGATGCTGTCGTCAGGTAAAGCCACAAGAAACAAATATGACAACATTTGTGTTGCTCACTTGTGGAATTGACCCGCTCTGTCCTCGTTGTCGGCATACAGGAACATTTTTAAGGCGTAGTTTTCGATGTGGGCGTTGCCGACCACCTCCTGGCTGATGGAGTCATTGTCACTCAGCTCCTTCTTCATCTGTTGAACCAAATAAAACAAACATAATTACTCAAAAACATTTAAAAAGGCCGCAAACTCAGCAGTAAAGAAATCTTCAGAGCAAAACACAGTAGGTATGTGTTAATGGATATGTGATGGGCGCTGCTTTTTAGTGTGATTGGTCAAATATGGAAAGGAAATAATAACTGGAAAGAATTCAGTAGCTGTGAAAACAGAAAGTGATGTAATTATTGATATACGAGGTGTGTCAGGAAAGTTTCAGGACCGGTGTCACAAAAGATATATTTCAAACCCAAACTTCAAGTTTTCCCCTTCCAAGTCATCCCCCTGGAGTCTAAAACACTTTCCCAGCTTTCTCTTCACGCTGCCATGCACTCCTGGAAGGATTCTTCCAGGATCCTCCATAGCTCCGTCATCACAGCCACCTTGATGTCGTCCACGTCTTCTAAACAGGTCCCCTTGATGACTCCCTTGAGCTTGGGGAAGAGGAAAAAATCCCACAGAGCCAGGTGGGGTGAGGAGGGAGGTTGCTCCAGCACAGACATGTTCATCTCAGCCAGGACCTGTGGGATGCTCAGGGCGTTGTGAGCAGGTTGTCATGGTGAAGCAGCCACGACTTGTCCTGTCACAACTCTCACCTCTTCTCGAACAAAGCAAACGCTGCAGGACCTCTTTGTAGACGTGCTGGTTGATCGTCTCAAGTGGAAAAACTGCTAGTTTGGGTTTGAAATATATCTTTTGTGACACCAGTCCTGGAACTTTTCTGACACACCTCGTATTAGTTCGATGATAGAACTCACATGAACACACGTTTTGTTTTTTGTTTTTTTACCTCATGTCGAGCTGACATCTTTCTTATTGACATTTTAAGGAGATTGCCTATTAAAGTGATGCATTTTAGTGTAAAACAAGCACCAGCAAAGGCCAGCCATGATACTATCAGCTGGAGGACAAGCAGCCAAGCTGAGAAAGATCACCAGAGGAGACACAGGACTAAAGGAATGTTTTGGTTTCAGAGTCGATGAAACCGACGAACCATCCAACATGGATGAAACTCCGCACACTGTTAAGCATACAGCACATCAAACAGTTTTTTAAACCTTCACAAACACCAACTTTTGCGCAGTAAAGTGAACAAGCAAACACGTAAATAAATGCGGGATCCTGAGTGTCTTGCTTGAAAACCCGCGGTCGAGTTCACACCGTTCAATTCGACCGAACGCATCCTCGCCTCATTATGTGACAATTCATCTCATTTCAGCTGCCTTTGCTTTGTATACATTTGTAATACACACCTGGATTTCCTCTTCTACATTAAATATCACGCTCACTCCCCGTCTGTCTGACTCACTCTCTCTCTCCATTACAGTGTCCAGCAGGAATCAGGTTTCTTATAAAAGCACTAAAGCAAACGCGCTGGTTCCTTCCAGCAGGTGGACCCTGACCAGCCTCAATAGACACACTGTTCACGGACTGAATCAGTCGGCGCTGTATGTGTGCCGCAGCAGAGGAACGTAAAACCACTGAGCTGAGTGCAGGACGACAAGAGGACAACTGGCCAGGGAATATAAAGAATGTGAGATCAAAGGGAACTCACTAAACTAAACACAGACTCTCAGGCTCATTGTCGGGTTTCATGTCACAGTTAACCAAACTGAAAGCCCACTACAAGAACACAAGCGACTTCTCTTTTTTTTTCTCAACTGAGTGAGTTTAAATATATCATTGTATTGCCTGATTCCGACTTGATTTACATCATCTTCACGGCGGGAGACATGACTCAGCAAATAGTGAAGAGGGTCCAAACCAACCAACCACTTTTGGTCAAAAGTAAATACAGAGCGCTGAGGCATGAGGAGAACTAAATTATTCAATATGGTTCAAATCTAATGTTAGAAATACATCAGCCATGTCGTGACATTTGTTTCATCATCTTGTGTTGCCTGGCGTTCGCCCGTCTCCCACCTTTTCGCTCCATTTCATGCAGTCTACATTTAAAGACTTGAAAACAACTTTCCTCGGCTCGGTTGCAGCAACACGATGTCCCGTCACTGTCGATGTGTTCTTCATAAAACAGCTTTTGCTTATTTTCGCCGTTAACTGACAAATAACACCAGAGATCCCCGTGTTGCTGTTGTGACAGCAGCATTGGAGCTGCAACAGTTTGTTCAGACCTGATAGACCAAGCAGTACCAAAAGAGTTTCTTGTCATGTCAGGAATGTTTCTCAGTCTCCAAGTTGTCCATAAATGTTGAGTGGGGTTGAGTTCAGGTGGCTGTGGGGTAATCTATGACAGTCAGCACTTCTTGGGCTACGTTCAGACGGCAGGACTTGATGCTCAATTCGGATTTTTTTGCGAGTTCGTTCACATTTCCAAATAAATGCGACTTGTATGTGATCTCCTGAGTGAATTTCATACGACCCAAAAGTGTCCCGCATGCATGGAAGAGGACACAACGCCTCCTTATATTTGGCTCAGAGCCTCTTTAGTTTTCTTTGGCATTGGACTGTTTATATCCACGCTCGGCCATTTCTTTGGAAATGTTTTCAAAAACGGCCCGGTTCCAATAAGACCCCTCGAGACTGGCCTGAATAGAGCTGTCCCCCCAAATACTAATAAATTCAGAAACCTCGCTGTCCCTCCATTGAGTGGACTCCACATTGTCGTCCTCCATGGTTTTCCACTCCCGCCTACTTAAACAAATAGTGACGTCAGATAAATGCGATCTGGTCGTTCAGACAGGAGTCAGATGGCAAAAGATCAGATATGATTCAGGACCACATGTCCAAGCGGCCTTGAACAAATCTTGTTTTTTTTTTTTCGGCTTTTCTTTACAGCTTCGTTCCCGGTTGGCTTGGGGGCAAAAAAATCAGGTTTGGGTCACTTTGACCGTAGCCTTGGTCTTCATGTCAAAACTCTGAGGTGTGTTTGGGTTCATTAACCTGCTGCAGCATGAATCCCTCTTTATAAAGACGCCAACCGGAGGGAGGAGCATGTCTCTGAAGAATCAAGAGCTGCTTCTTTTTGGCCAGGATGGAGTCACTTTTCTGTTTGAGCCACTGTGGTTCGTTTTTCTCTACTGTTGGTCTTCTTAGATTCACCTTTTTGCTGCTGCCACTGATCTGCAACTGGGTTCATCAGTAAACACCAGCTATTCTGTATGTAACAGCTGGATGATGAGGAGGATAAGGAGGAAACAATCGTCATCAGCAGAGAAGTTGAAAAATGTTAACGATTCTCATCATATTACATGAATGGAATAAACATTCATCAGTTTAATCATGCTGTAAATTCTTCGTAAGGAAATGAAAGGAGCATATAAATGTGTCACCACCGTTGCTGGTTCATCCCTGAGTGAACAACGGTTCCATCGGCGTATGTTCAGAGTGTAACCTCTGCGGCTGCAGCAGCAGACAATCCTCTAAATTTAGTAGCATCTGGCTGGTAGCGTTGGGAGATTTCCCACAGTGGACCATATGAGGCTGATTTTTAAACAAGTGATTTTCCACCGTCCGAGTGAGAGCAAAGCCTCGGAGAGTTGAGCCGGCGATGACAGTGGAAAATAGAATTAATGAGTCCAACATGTATTGTACGTACGAGCCAGGTCATCAGCGAAAGAGGAAAAAAAAAGGAGAGAGAAGCTGCTGTGGTTTGCGTCCTGACTCACTCGCTCTATAGAAATGAGTCACAACTGCTGGCAACAGTTCATAAAGGAGTGGAACACATAAAGAAAGCAGCAGGACGTCCGCCTGAAAGGGGCACTGATTTTTTTTTTTCTTTTTTTTTTTACAGAAGATTAATATTTTTACAGTTAAAAATTAATCATCAGATTTGTCCTCATGCCATTGTCAGGTTTGTCTGCTGTCAACAGCACCTCAGGAAGCTTTTACTGTGTGGGAACGAGTGCATACTGAAATCTAACCATTCGTTGTATTGAATCTAACCCGGGTTATATCTGATTAAAAAAAACAAAAAAACAACTGAAGACTGGTGACAGCAAAAAGCAAAAAGAACACAAATCCAAAACAAACGATCAGACCTTAATTAAGCACATATCCAGCTTTAGGCTTTTACCTGCAGCAGATTTTTCTGTTTTGACACTGAATCAAACCAACATTTGTAGTTTGCTAATAACCCGCTACTGCCTGCCACCCAGTTGGCAAACGCACACAGTCCGGCTTTGCAAGTAGTGGACCGACACCAAACCAACCCTCTGGGCCCAAATTAATTATCCTTCTTGGCTGTGGCCCCTGTCACCAGGCACTTGTCTTTGAGTTTCCCTTTCGGGCTCGCTCCAAGAAGTAGCCACGATGTCATCAATCTGGGTGAGGTAGCTCAACTTCAAAACTGCAGCTCCATAAAGCTCGCTTTATACTTCAGATGCTTGTCGGACAGCTTCGAGAACTCCCTCCACCCACGCGTCAGATGAGGGGGCACCGCGTCTGAATATTTCTGTAACTTTCCAAACCTGATGAGATCGGTTGATTACAGGACCTGGCCTTCTGGATCAGCGCCCGACTGATGAGCAGATCTGATTTTACACATTTTCTCCAATTTTCATTATGATTTTAACTAATTCCTGACTGACTAAATTGATTTTAAAAATGCATCACTTTAGCTGTGATGCAAAGACATTTCTCTATCTGTAGTCACTCTGTGGTCTTGGATAGTGTCCCATCCACAGCACTGTCTGAAGGGTGTTTTAACTCAACATATGTAAAACCTAAATAAAGATATGTAATGAAGTTTTGTATTAGACTTTCTATTATTTTATGTACAGTCGTCCTAAAATGTATTCCTACCCTCCCATTAAAGGAGGGTAAAAAACAGTTGTCACTGAAATAAGTTGAAATTGATAAAAATAATAAATAATAATTGAATGAGAATCATGACATTACTTTTGAATTGTGGTTCAACAGAAATATATTAAAATAATGTCTGGGACAGGTTTTTTTTAATTTATTTTTTAAATTTTTATTATTATTCTTTTCAACCTCAATTCAAAAGCAATGTCTTATTTCACTAAATTATAATTTAGCAAATTTTTATGTATTATTATTTTTTTCAGTTTCTCATTATTTGAGTGACTATTGTGGATTTTGCCTTTTCTTTAATGGAGGGGTAGGAATACATTTGAGGACGACTGTATATTGTTTCCAAATATCAACTATCGGTCTCTCTTATTACTAATAAAAACACATCAGCACTTCTGTTACTGCTGCATTTTTTCCACCAACAAACCCAGTCCACTATGTGCAATAACCGTTTACTACCTCATCTTGTCTATATAGTCTTCTTAAAAAAATAAAAATAAATAATGTCTTTTTTTTATGTTTTTTTTTTTTTTTTTCTTTTTTTTTTTTGTTCCTTTTTCGTTGGGTTTTTGTTGGTTGTTTTTGCACTGTTTTTGCACTTTTTTTTTTTTTTTTTTTTTTTTTTCCGGTGTGTTTTCTCCATTGTGTTTTTCTTTATTTTTATTAGTCGACTCCTAATGTGGTTATTCCAGCAGCAGGATTTCTCCATTCATACCGCAAAGAATGTAACTTAATATCAGGTTCATGAAAACAAAAGAGGCAACAGGGGCTTAATTATCTATGAAGTACCATCCATGGGAGAAAAGAAAAACATTGAGCACCTTTGTAAATGAAATTCAAGACTTGTTATACCTTTCCAGGTCTATTCTGAGGGGACTAAATTCATTGCTTTTTTTAAAGACTTGCAGACACCTTAAACTAGGACGATTTAGCAGCATCTGATTTTTTAACCTTCTAGCAAAAATAAAATATCCATAGATTTGAAATGCATAATAAAGCCTTCATCATTCTTCCAAAAGTCTTTCTCCGTTTCAAAACTGATATATCTATTAGAAAGTGTCCCTCCAGATGCAGACTTCAGGAATCCCTAATATACAGGCTACACATAAGAGGTCACAAAGAGAAGGTAAGTCAAACCGATGCCAACGAGCAGCACAACTAACTAGAACACACACATACATGCATCAAAGCAGCGGATGTCGGCATCCTGAGTGTGACAGTAATGAAGATCCCTGGAGCCTCCGTAAAACCTGGCTCAAGAGGGCAGCGCTGTGCATGTGTGTGTGTGTCTGAATGTTTCATCTCTGTCCACTGCCTCCTTTAATTGGCTCTGAGTGATCAATAAAGTGAGTCCAGCATCGCCGCGGGATTTCCCATCTCCTCAGCCTCCACCCTCCTCCCGCCCATAAAGACCAGAGGCTGATCTCGTTCATCTCCCCGTTCTGCTGCTCTTAACACCTCTTCCTGACACTTAGCAACAGATTTGTGAAATATTGGGGGGGTGCAAAGTCACATAGTGATGGAGCATTCTCTCAAACAGAGCCTCCAAATCTAAAAAAAAAAAAAAATCCAAGCTCTGCGAGTAAAAACAAGTCCATTTGTCATCAGGACATGTCACCACTAGATCAAAATTACTGTAAAAGTGAAAATGAAGCTGAGGATTTGTGAGATATTTCCTGCATCTCCATCACCTCTCTGTCTGTTCTTCTCAGTCTCCTGACAAAAGCCTCATTTATTGGAGCCCCACCGGGACACTCGGAGCTCGTTCGCCTCCTCTTGTCTCATCTCACCTCCTCCCTTCTCACCTCCTCATAATAACAACCCCACAAAATCTAATTAGTCTGGCCCTTGTTGACAGATCGGAGAGCAGCCTGCGTCAAATGTGAGTCAAACCAAAGCGCAGACTTCGACCCGGCTTGGACCAGACAATAGGCACTTGTAAGGCTGGAGAACACATGGGTACAAACTGAAGTGTGTTTTGTGACACACTGTTTATACTGGATGAGACAAATGCGTAAAATGCCTGATATGTAACGACAAGTGTCTGCTGCAGATGTTGCACAAGCAGAAAAGAGTCACACAAAAGTGAGAAATGGGAACAAATGTGACGAATTCACACATATCAACAAGAGAAGTAAAGAACATGTGATCCTGCTTGTCAAGACAGTGAACTAGTGAGAGAACTGTTTTAATTCAATGATCTGCATCTTGTAAAACACTCTATTTTGCCTTGTAATAAACCATCTTTTTGGATGATTTGTTGCATTAAATACAGAACAGAATCTTGCTCTGTTGTACGACTGACCTCTCCGGGTTGATCTGTAGAGACATCAGGTGAAGTGGATTTACCTCTGAGGAAAGAAACCTCAAACCTCTGAGCAGACCTGCTGCGAGCGGCGTAGCTGCCCACGACGAACAGGCAAATGTCAAGCCTTTTAGTGTGTGTTCATTACGGTAGACCACACACACACACACACACACACATCCGCAGTGCGTTTCATTAGAACAGATCCATTCATGCATGTGGAGCTGTGATAAAGGCTTCATCACAGGCCTGTGTTGCAGCTCAGCAGCATTTTATATTTTAAAAAGCTGCACCTCTGGTCAGGCTGCTGATAGCAGCAGTAATAAGGCTGTCAGCCGAACCACGCAGCGCTGCAGCAGGACATCATTCTTCATGGAGCAGTTTGTAATAAAGGACAGTCGGTCTAACCAAACTGAACGAACAACCCTCCAGCCACGCTCTCTCCCAGACTTCTCCTCCTATTATCATTAGCTTTGGCTAAACTTTTCAAGAGCCGGACAGCACTAGGAGATGATGAATGGTTTCCAAACTGTGTCTGTTAGTTTGCTTTCACATGCAGATTATATGGAGTTAATCTGCACTATTGTAGGTACAGAACAGTTTTCTGTTGGCAGATGTATCCTCTGCTGCCTTCTGTCCTTTCATGGAAACTTTTAAGTGACGTGCTGTAAACAACAAACACTTGAACATCTGCAACTCCAAGATAACTGAGCCACACAACAGCGTCTGAAGTAAACGATAGGATGTCCAAATCTTGTATTTTTGGCCCCCAGTCATGATCAGAGATTCTTAATACTGGGTGAACAGCTCAATGCAACATTTATACTCACATTAAAGTTGATTAAATATTTATCTGACACACTGAAATAATCACTGTAGACTCTAAACTGAACACATCTCATCTCTCCTGAGCTACTTGATAAAATACTGAAGGTTCTGGTTATAGTGGCCCATCGATGGTTGTCTGTTAACAGTGTAGAGCTCTGCAGGAGAGGAGTTTGAACGTAAGACTTCATACATGACCTCGGTATGGTCCCTTCTCGAAGTGATTCAATTTTGGGGTCAATCCATGCCTTGGTGACCGCCACAGAGGTCAAAGGAAACTATGTCCCTCTACTGAGGCCTTTCTAGTTCAATTCTATTAAGCTGATAAATTAAATTAATAATCTAGTATTAAAAAAAAGTGTAACTGGAGAAGTGTGACTCCTGAAACTGATTAAATAATCAGTGTAGCAGCTGCAAAACAAACCGGTTAGTACTGTGTCATTAATGTGCAGCTGAAGCATCACAGTGTCGCATCGTATAACAATCAGATGCTATTAAATGAAAAAGAAAATGTGAAAAAGAAAAGAGAAAAACAGACGAGAAATGTATTTAAAAGAGTAGGAAACAAATAAAAGAACACAAGGCCGTGTGATATGAAGTTGGTTTAACAATAATATAAGTCTTGCTGTGCGTGATTCATAAATACATTTAGAACACATTAATAAAGTTTTGAAAAGCTCCTGATTTCAGCTCTTGTCTAATCTACCCATCAAGGAAAAAACTTTTCATGTGCACCCACTCCAGTAATCAGGATGAGGCTGTCTGGAAGCAGTGGACCTGCACTGATTGACTTTCACCAGCAGCCTCCTGCTGAAGATAATGGTCTACTGAACCCCTTCACGTAACACAGAGCCTCCAGTTGAGTAGATGTAATGAAAAAATTACCGCCCCCGCCAGGCGCTACGGGATTCCACAAAGGGAGGAACGGGAGGAAAGTAGGTCTGACTCACCGTCTCCAGCTGGTCCATGAGCTTGATGAGGAACTTTCGGCACTCTGGTGTTTTACTGTCCAGCTTCATGCCCGTCTGCATCGCGTAGAGCCGACCTGCAGGAGAGGACAGCAGGGAAGATGAAAGGTGAAGAGAATTAAACGTGGTTTTTTTACTGCTCAGTAAAGCCCGTTCCCTCTGCAGCCTCGTTCTAACGACTGACCGAGTCATGCGGGATACTCATTACGCAAACTTCTCGTGAATTTTTCACGACGAGGCAGCGAGAGGAGCTCCTGGACGAGCCGCGGATGTTTTCTCCTGCTCTGGACCAGGAGGGAAGGTTGAAAGGATTTCCACCTGAGCCAGATATCCCTGATCGAGAAGAGGCTTGTCAGAACTTCAACTCCCACAATCCCTCATCTGCCAATTACTTCCATGGACAAGTTCTTCTCTTCACATGATGCAACACCTTGAACCTGTGAGCCAGGTGACCTGAGCAGCAGAGAGCTGACTGTCTGTCTTGCTCACTGACCTTCTCGCTGACTGATTGACTGGTTTTCTAGCAGTTTGGCAGAAAAATAAAACTAAACACTACGAACTTTCTGCAGATTAAAACTGCTGACAGGACAAAGCCGAGACCCATTTCATCTCACACTTTCATAGTTCCTCAATATGTCTGTTAATTTCCCCTGCCTACTAGGTGCAGAACCTGCTGCCCTGGAGAAGAAAATAAAGCTTTAATAAAGGCAAGTGTCCCATAGTGGACAACTGTATGTTAAATTATGCATTGTTTGTAGCCTTAATGTTGCTCGACTGGTGAGTTATTTCAAGTTAATCAGCCATAAAAGTGTTGGGTCAGCCCAGTTTAACCTGCAGGACTTTCTGAAGTCTCCTGTAATGTAATGCTGCCGTGGGGGAAATACACTCATGACGGGTGAGAACCAGTTCATAGAGTCTCCTGACATCTTTACTGCAGGGAGCTGTACTATGAAGTAAGATGAATGGGTTAGCGAGGGATGTTGAGCCCAAAGCCAGAGGTTTTAATGTCACCATGGCTCTCTTTCAGTCTGCTCAGACCACGGCGGTAACTCCTGCAGCACAGCTAACCTGATCTGGAGCAGGCGTAGATTTTCAATTAGCTGTAAGGAACGTGTCCATTTTGCTAATTCTTTTCCTGACAATTCACTATGGGTGATACAGATTTTCAGCTGAGAGAATGGAGATCTGCTAAAGTGTAAACGGAGCTGTGCAGTTACAAACTGGATGCATTGTGTTGTCACGGGAATGTATACGTCGATGCAAAAATACCAGAAATATGTTTTCATGCCTGATCTTATTCTGCTGCCTGGTTGACTTTGTGCTGCTGCTAACAAAAGACAGATTAGAAAAACTGATGAGTCTGTTGGTATTTATCAAACAGAATATTCAATCAGTAACATTAATTTCACTTTGATTTGATCAAAAATCGAAGTGGCTTTCACGTATTTTTCTTAATGGAACGGTGTCACACCTGGAAGCACTTCTTCAATTTAAATGAATGAAGTTTAAAGTTAATCCTCACTTGGGTCATGGGGGGCCGGAGTCCAGCTGACTCAGGGACAGGTCAGGTCAGGTCACCAGTCTATCACAGGGCTACACTTAGAGACAGACAACCAAGCACACTCACATTTACACCTACAGACAATTTATAATCACCAATTAACCTCAACATGTTTTTGGACTGTGTGGGAGGAAGCCGGAGAACCCGGAGAGAACCCACGCTGCACGGGGAGAACATGCAAACTCCACACAGAAAGATCCCGGGTGTCCTCACCAGGATGCATACCAGCGACCTTCTTGCTGCAAAGTAATGATGCTAACCACTGATCCACCTCAGAGCCCTCAATCTTTACGTTTAAAATCATTTCAAAGTGTAAAATGATTATGGGCCTCACTGTGATTAAAAGCAGTGTTTTGCCTATTTTTCATGTCTAGTTAGAACGACACAGCGAGGCAGTTTCAACAAGCGCTGGGGGGTCGTTCAGGCTCAACCTGCCTCGTCTGTACAACCCTCCAAGGAGCTGGTGATGGACAAGTCTCATGTCGGTTGATTCTTTGTTTTTAATGAATAGGGTGCTCGATGCAGGTTGCCATTCAGGAACCTGATTGGTTGTGATGTGAGGCACGCAAGTATGACGCAAAACGCTTTCCAAAAATAAACGCAGCCCCACATGCTACATAAGGTGGTTGCGCAACAAACCTAATTACTAATAAAGGGATGTATGCCAACAAAGCTGCAGCCTTGATGACCTTTATTGTGCCAGAAGGAAATTGGTTTGCAGCAGAGAGGCTTTTACGTGCAAAAGAAACAAACATCCTTCGAAGTAAGCAAGAGGAACTGCAGGAATCACTTGTTTCATACACCCGGCTGCCTGCACAGCCAGCCAAACAAACACTTGAGATTTAATCCCTAATCCAAACTCTGTGAGAGTGTGTGTGTACCGTTGTGTATGATGTTCGCTATTTGTGCAACAGGCAAAGTCAGCACGGCGCTATCAGTCTGCAGTGAAGGGAGCAGCCTTAGATTTTCTTCTCCTTGCAGTCATGAGGATGCTGGAAGGATTATCAGCCAACACAGATTAGATTACCTCAACAGTTTACTTGTTACAGCAGCAGCAGCAGCAGCATCACTGTGTGAGGCGAGGCACACTGTGCAACCACAGGAGAAAGGAATTGTGTTTTATACAAAATATGACATGAACTTTTAGGGATAAATAATGAGAAAGCTCTTTACAGAACGCAGTGATTATTTGAGCCATGGTCATTTAGTAATAATTAATCAATTTGGTTACTTCTTGTTTTTATGTCATCTCTCAAGCAAAAATAACACAGGCTCATCTTTAATGTGAGGATTTGTGGCTTTTCTCAGTTCTTCTTATTTGAATATCTTTGGGTTTTAGTCCGTTCAGATTAAAGGCATTTGAAGATAATGGATTTTGGTCACGTGTGATGGGTCTGATTATTATTTACATCACTGATCGATTCTTTAACAATGAAAATAAAGGTTTGGTGCAGCTCTGCTCTGTCCCTATCAATGAATAATGAATACACTCATCTTCAGGCATTGTTCATACTTAGATTAAATCCATTGATCCACAAGGGAAACGGTTTTATCACAGTAGCACAAAATAAATCATTATATAAGAATATACAAAAAATGAAAAATAAGGAAAAAAAAGTAAGCAGGAAAAAAAGAATACAATACAAAGATTTCCATATGTACAATTTATAATTTTACATTTTTTTTTGTTTGTTTGTTTTGTTTTTGTTGGGTTTTTTGCCAAGTAAAGAAAGACAATACAATAATTAATAACAACAATAAAACAATATCAAATAAAAATAAAGATAAAATAAAAGTAAATACTACTGTAACACTTTAAAAAAAAAAAAAAAAAAGAAGAAGAAAAACTGCATCTGCTATTTACAGTTTACATAATTCCTCCCTAGACTTTCCCTTTATCTCACTCTCCCTACGTATGGTGGAGGCTGCATAGGATTTACCAGTTAAACATGTTCTTGGCAATCTCAGTGCATGAGCGCGTAACTGAAGCTGCCAAAGTCGATGCAGCAATCTTCAACCATCTGTTGCAGCAGCAGCAGAGAAACAGAAACACCATGATGTCCAGCTATGTGTACGCGCAGGTTTGCCGTGTAGTGGATTCTGTTACCAGGAGACCATCCGGATCTTGCTGTACTCTGCACTGGGCATGTATTTTAGCGCTCTGTTTCCACCTCATGTTTAGTGTTTGAGTCACAGCGTAGTGTCACTGTCCTGCACAGCGTCAACAGAACAATGTCCCATTTCAGCGAGGCTGAATGGTGGAGAGTCACTGTCAGGCCGCCAAGGCCAGAACCACTCAACATTTCCAAAAAAAAAAAAAAAAGAAGCCGGAGTGACATACATCACGTATGCATGTTCTGCATGACGCCACGGCAGTAGTTAACCAGCCGGTGCAGAGAGGCGAGCCGACAGCAAGCCTTCAGCTGCTGAAGCAGTCAGTAAGCCGGTCGTCTAGTGACAAAGAAGCTCGTTGTGCCATCACACCCATACACTCGCTGTTTACAGGCAGTGAAGTGCGACACAGAAGGCTTTGACAGCAGCCACAGAAACAGAAAAAACTACCAAGACTGGCACATCCTTTTCTCATGTATTCCATCAACGCTTGAGCCCTCTGCTGGTCACTGAAGGTGCAGTTTGCATGTTTGATTGTGTGTTTACAGAAGTTATTACTCACTAAACTGCACTCAGATCAGAGCCCCGTAATGGAGTGGCGACCTTTTCAAGCCGTAACTCACCTCTCACCGCTAAATGTCACCTGGAATAGACTCCTGCCCCCCGTGAGCCCCTAAATCAGGGGTTCTCCAAACTGTCAGAGACCCTCGACCCCCAATAACTATCTTTGAATGTGGCTGAAGCATTCAAATGTTACACGCAGCTGTATACAAGCACTAAAAGGCCAAACACATCCAAACACAGGCATAACAAAAAGGCAAAAAACATTATTTCATATCTTTAAGTTCAAATAGGCTAGTAGCTGCATATGTCAGTCAAACTATGGTGCTGAGTAAACATACAGTATGAGGAAGCAGTTGTTTTATAATATTTTATAACAATCATGACTAAAATATGCTATGCATAATAAATATGCATTGCAGTAATAAACGTCTGATAGTGTAAGGCAATCACCTCATATAATTAGGTCATTATTACTTGTGCATTATTGTGCATTAACAGTGTTTTACTGATGTCGGTCTTTGAGCTCCAGCTCGTTTTGAATAATTATGTGTAGGTTTGTAACTACCAAATCTTTTCCTGATAATTCTGCCTATTATGAATTTGACTGAATGTTTGATTGGCATTTTTTTTTACCAACAGCAACATCTTAAAACCAACTATCTAGTTATTATAACAACTATAAACAATAATTAACAACAAATGACCCTTTAGGCATGAAGCCCTCCTTGTATCTGGACCTCCGTCTTGACAATCCGACAGCCTTGCTATCCGACATAAAAGAAGGTTTTACATTTGGTGTCGGATTATTGAGTCACGACTGTATTTAAATCACACATCTCA